GGCTGAGGCAGGGGAATCGCTTTAACCCAGGAAGCAGAGGTTGCAGTGAGCTGAGATGGTGCCATTGCACTCCAGCCTGGACAACAAGAGCGAAACTCCATTTCAAAAAAAAAAAAAAAAAAGATGTAAGTTGTTCTTACTTTGCCCCATACCCTTGTAGCAAGGACTCTGATTGTTACCATGCTGCTTTCCACTTCTATCCTCAAAGTAGAGTCCCTGAGTACAATAAGGCCCAAGAAAGAACAAAAGAAGTAGAGAAGAAGCAAGGTGAGATGCCAGGTCTAGGAGTGTGTTTCTAACAGGTTTTAATGGTGCTGGAGGCTATTATCCTTAGCAAATTAACACAGGAACAGAAAACCAAATACCACGTGTTCCCACTCATAAGTGGGAGCTAAATGATGAGAACACATGAACACAAAGAAGGAAACAACAGACACTGCAGTCTACTTAAGTGGGGAGGGAGGGAGGAGGGAGAGAAGCAGAAAAGATAACTATTGGGTACGGGGCTTAATATTTGGGTGATAAAATAATATGTACAATAAGCCCCATGACATGTGTTTACCTATGTAGAAACCTTCACATGTACCCCCAAACCTAAAAGTTTTTTTTTTTTTAAGTTTTAAGAATCAATCAAAATACAATGTTTTAATGTGCTTATTATCTAATTAGTTAACACACTGATCAATAATCTTATATAAAATTAAAGCCAAAAGACTTTGGAATCACAAGAATAACTGGCCAGAGAGATTTTTAAAAATTCAGGCAAGTTGTTTTTGTCATGAGTGATAGCTAGACAAAAAGGCTAAGGTAGCATCACAATAAAGCTGTCATGGAGATTTCAGATTAGAGTTGTAAGGGAGTCTAGATAATTATAAATGGACCGGCACTAAGGGCCATGATGTAGCAATGACCAATAAATGCACTGCAAAGGGAATTCAACAACATGTTGGGAAAGAGAGCAAACGAAAATTCAGTGCAAAGCAGACTGGCTCTGAAATGGTGCTTACTAATCACCAAGTCAGACCCACCCCCAGGTTCACACAGGTCGGGACTGTATTTACACTCCTTATCACTTTTCCTTACCTAAGTATATCACTGACAGTAATTTCAGGGATGAATTTTTGAAGATACTTCACTGTTGCACCAAGAAAACACGCTTTATACATTTCAGTAACTCCATAGGAAAAATTCTGGGATGCCAGTTTAATCAAGCCACTGAAAACAGAGCAAAACAAATCTTTATGAGACAAAGGAATTCTTTATTACTCTAAAATACCTTTACAATTATTAGATTCTTTTTTTTACGTCATCACAAAAATCTAGGCAAAGTCAGAAAAACTACAGATTAAAAGAAAATCAAGGCAAGGAGTGGTGGCTCACGCCTGTAATCCCGACACTTTGGGAGGTCAAGGCAGGCAGATCACTTGAGGTCATGAGTTCGAAACCAGCCTGGCCAACATGACAAAACCCTGTCTCTACCAAAAATACAAAAATTAGCCAGGCATGGTGGTGCACGCCTATAATCCCAGCTAATCAAGAGGCTGAGGCAGGAGAATTGCTTGAACCTGGGAGGAAGAGGTTGCAGTGAGCTGAGATCGTGCCACTGCACTCCAGCCTGGGCAACACAGAGAGACCCTCTCTCAATCAATCGATCGATCAATGAAAATCAACTTTTGGCCAATATAAGAAGCAAACCTCATCAGCTCAGGAGGTAAACAGAGCTGGGCATGGTGGTGTGTGCCTGTAGTTCCAGCTACTAGGGAGGCTGACATGGGAGGCTCGTTTAAGCCCAGGAGTTTGAGGCTGCAGTAGCCAATGATTGTGCCACTGCACTTCAGCCTGGGCAACAGTGAGACTTTGACTCAAAAAAAAAAAAAAAAAAAAAAAAATACAGAGGTAAACACCTTCTAAACTCAAATTCCCAAGGAGGGGTTTCAAACTAGAACTCTATAAAGCCTGCCAATATCAAGGCTCTCTAATGCAAATATTACATGCCTTCAACACACCTAAAAGGCAGTGTATGAAAGAAATGGGACATCTACCCTAGTTTTCCTTAGTCAGCCAGAGGTAAAATACTTTAGTTGTTGAGGCAGGGTGTGGTGGCTCATGTCTATAATCCCAGCACTTTGGGAGGCCAAGGCAGGTGGATTGCTTGAACCCAGGAGTTCAAGATCAGCCTGTGTAACATGGCAAACCCTGTCTCTACAGAAAACACAAAAATTATCTGGGCATGGTAGCATCTGCCTGTAGTTCCAGCTACTTGGATGGTGAAGTGGGAGAATTGATCGATCCCAGGAGGTTGAGGCTGCAGCGAGTGACAAAGTAAGACCCTGTCTCAAAATTACAAAACAAAAAACCTTTAGTTATGATTTTCAAGTGAGACTCTGCAAAGCCTAGATGCATATATGTATATATTTTTACAAGTACACGTGCCAGGAAGCTCCATCCTAAACTTTCTGTTTCAGAATCCATGGAGGGTGAAACTCAAGTATAGCTTTAAATCTAGTGATTTAAACATGAAAATCTAGTAATTTTCATGTGAAACCCTTTGGAGAGAAACATTGCTAAAAGTACCAAACAAAATACCTAATTCAAACAAAACACCTAATTCAGTTATTTCTTACAATAGTAAAGAATTTGTATCTTAGGTCAACACAATTGTATTGTTAGTTTCCTACACAAGGAAATTACTTTGGTCATCAGTAATTTCTCCAGTGGCTTACAAAATGATGGAGACTGGCTCAAAATGATTTTATTAAAATAGCCGTCTACTGATTTTGAGAGAATCTATTTTTCACCCCCAAATAAAACTGGAAAGTTAGCAATACAAGATTTAGATTGCCAGATATATGAATGACTCTTGGCCTTATCTTCTTTTCATTTTTTTATTTTTTATTGATTGATTGATTGATTGATTGAGACAGAGTCTTGCTCTGTCGCCCAAGCTGGAGTGCAGAGGCAGCGATTTCAGCTCACTGCAAGCTCTGTCCCCTGGGTTCATGCCATTCTCCTGTCTCAGCCTCCCAAGAAGCTAGGACTACAGGCGCCTGCCACCATGCCTGGCTAATTTTTTGTATTTTTAGTAGAGACAGGGTTTCACCGTGTTAGCCAGGATGGTCTTGGTCTCCTAACCTCGTGATCCACCTGCCTTGGCCTCCCAAAGTGCTGGGATTACAGGTGTGAGCCACTATGCCTGGCCGGTCTTATCTTCTTTTTAACCAAGACATTACCTTGGCTCATCAGAATTTTCTTGAAGTAGTTAAAATGTTATGCTTATTCCACAAAGCTCTTTTTTTTTTTTTTTGGTGACTCCATCCACTCTAAAGCTTTTAATTTGAATTAATACAAAATTCAATATACCAATCACAAAAATGGGGATTTACCCAATAAGTAGAATATCAAGAAAAACAAAACTTCCCACATTGAAAATATAAGCACATAAAATCATTTTTAAGAATAAATAACATTACCTATTAATAATTATATCCATAACATCTGTGGCACTGAAGTCAAAGGGTCTGTAACCCTCTCGTTTAAAGGCAAGAACTGCATTAGGACCTAGCCAAATACTGCCATCCATCCTTGGTGTGAAGTGAACTCCTAGGAAAGGAAACCGGCTATCTGGGACCTATAAATTTAACATAGTAAATAACAGCCTCATTTCACATTCCATGTTATCAGAGATGCAAACATTCAATTGGTAACATAAAACACTTTCTTCCCATGCATTTAATTTGTATTGTGAGCTGTACTCAGATATACTTTTCCATTAACATGCTTCTGCTTAGAAATGCACACAAGAAACCCTGATGCTGGCCAGGCACAGTGGCTCACGTCTGTAATCCCAACACTTTGGGAGGCCAAGGCGGGAGGATCACTTGAGATCTGGAGTTCAAAACCAACCTGGCCAACATTGTAAAACCCTGTCTCTACTAAAAATACAAAAACTAGCCTGGCACGGTGGTGTGCACCTGTGATCCCAGCTACTTGGGAGGCTGAGGCATGAGAATTGCTTAAATCCAGGAGGTGGAGGTTGCAATGAACCAAGATCGCGCCACTGCACTCTAGCCTGGGTGACAGAGTAAGACTCTGTCTCAAAAAAAAAAAAAAAGAAACTCTGATGTTATTAACACTAATACATCGTTCCATCTATGCATCTTTCTGGGTAAAGGGGAAAAAAAAGATGAACTGTCCTACTTCAGGTTATTCTCTTTCACAAGGGATGTCTATGACTGGAAAGTAAAATCAGAGCCGCCAGAAAAAAAATACACGTTCATAGCACAGGCTTCTGCAAAGTACAAATACATGAGGTTGAAACAGATGAAATTCATGTTTTGGCAAGGTCAAAAATATCAAATAGCCAAATACTGACTATTTCATCTGGTTCAACCTAATATATTTTAAGAGATTCATCATTTCCAGGGTAGTTCCAGACAGAAAAATGAACTCTTCATTTAAATACCTCTGTCTTCTAGTCCCTGAAACTACAGAGTGGCCACATCCCTTTTCTGTACCTATAGATAGTGAACTGAGGAAAAGGGCTGGGTATCAGGGACTTCCATAAGGGAAAGTTTTCCCTTTCCCTCCACCAGAGAGAAGGAAGAATTCAGTTCCTTCCTGATAGCACTTCCCATAGTGCACTCATGCTTTCTGGAGACATGTACCTGCAGGCAATTAATTACAATTTAATAACCATGATACCAGGATAAAGATTTAGGGATTTAACCACAAGAGAAACTGATGAAATGCTTACACAAATGGTCCTTCAAAATCGCTCTTATTTCTGACCCAAGTGAAAGTTGTTTTCATCTCCTTTATGACCACCACCTGCTTGAAAAAAATTAGAAGTAGGAAGCATCATTACCTACCGGATAAATATTTCCTTTTACAAGATAACATTTTTCCGGCTTCAAGAGCAGGTAATCTCCCCGGAATGGTACAATTCGAGGATCAGGAGTGCAGCCACTCAACTCTGAAATACGGTCTGAGTAAAGTCCTGCACATGTCACAACATACTGACATCGAATTTCCTCTCCCTAGTGCAAAATAAAATAATAGTTATTTGTATAGAGTGGAGTAGACTAGGTCAAGAGGGGAAAAACAGGTGATAGAAAAGAAAACAAGGTACAGAAATAGAATTTTTTCTAAAAAAGGATATTCAACACAGGTATCAGTAAAATATGTTCTTTAGCATTTAGGTGGCAGCTAGAAACTGAGGACAGTGGCATGTAAGAGGATGTCACCTTAAATTTTGTACTTTAAAGATAATAATGGTCAACCCAGCAAGGATACGTAGTAAGGTATACATGCATGCACACAAATACATACAAATCTGTTTATTAGGACCTAGCGGGGAGCTTCTTAACTATTTGTTGCATGAAGAAGCAAATGTCATTTAGATAGCCTCCACCAATTTTTTTTTGCTCCCCCACCCACCCCACAGCTTTTAATTTGGATTAATTAAAAATTCAATATACCAATCACAAATACGAGGATTTACCCAATTAGTAGAATATCAAGAAAGACAAAACTTCCTACATTGAAAATGTAAGCATATAAAATAATTTTTAAAAATAAAGTTGTTACCTATTGATAATTATATCCATAACATCTCTGGCACTGAAGTCACAGGGCCTGTAACCCTCTCATTTAAAGGCAACCTCTGTATAGCAACCAGCTTCTCCTGTATCTGAGCAATTACTGTGTTACTCTTCAGTTGCCTCACACTCAATAATCCTGCCCAGTTGCAACTGTAATCTACCCACCAAGCAATTTCTCCTTCCTAATCAATATCTACTTTGCAAACTGAGGACACTTTAGAAATCTCATTCATTCAATGCACATTTACTGAGAGCACACACTACATTCAAGGTTTGCTTTAGTGCCTAGGAGACTGCTAATGTTAGGCTGTTATGATTTCCTATAAATTTTATTTTGTGATTATCATCTGCTCATTTTTAACTTTACTCACCAAGTTTGGCCAATTTGCCACCCTATTTCCTAAATGACTTCATTTATCGCGCATTCACCACCACACTCGAATTCCCATCTCTTTACTTCTAACAGAGTAAACACCTAGCAATTCTGTTCTTATTCTTAGATCTTCTTCCCAGATGACCTATTTTTGAAGCCTCAGAATTCTCACCTGTCTCAACATTTTCTTTCTTTCCAGGCCTTACTGTTTAGCCTTACTCTATTGAGCTAAATTTCCACCTCTGTATGTATCCTATTTTTGCCCTTGCTAGAAAGTTAAGCCTCTTTTCAGGAGTTATACATGTCATCGTTTTTAGAAAAATTAGATGAAACTTCTCCACAAAGAATTCAAATTAGCTAGACTAAGCCATGATTGTTTTAAGACCTTTGAAGTCAAAAGGGTTGTCAAGGTCTTGCTCTGTCACCCAGGCTGGAGTGCGATGGCGCAGTCCTAGCTCACTACAGCCTCAACCTCCTGTGTTCAAGTGATTCTCTTGCCTAAGCAAACAGCTGGGACTACAGTTGTGAGCCACCGCACCCAGCCAAAAATACCTTTTTCTAAATAGGTTAATATCTTTCTTGTTCATCTAGAGTTATATTCTAGAAATACGAGAGGTATTTTTGTGACATAAATCATCAGCTCCTACATAAAAGATTGGCAGTTCTTTTGTTCTTGGAACAAAAAAATGCAGATAAGTCTTATGATAGATGTAAAGATAGTAACAGAATTTATAAAATGGTACCAGCATGCAATAACCTAATAATTCTCTTTAAAAACTCAAGCAACAGTTCCCAAGAAAATTATCAAAAACTATCACAGATTTCTGAAATCATTTTATGCTATATGTTAAACAATAATTAAATTCAGTAACATATTAACTTTACTTCCAAATTAAAATTTAGGTAACCATCATACGATACATCTGTTCAACATAAATTTCTTTTAGGCTGGGCACAGTGGCTCATGCCTGTAGTCCCAACATTTTGGGAGGCCAAAGTGGGAGGATCATTTGAGCCCAGGAGTTCAAGACCAGCCTGGGCAACACAGGGAGACTTTGTCTCCCTATGTTTTATTAGAGATAAAGTCTCTAATCAAAAAAAAAAAAAAAAGAAATTAAAAAGAAGAAGAAATAAACCATGTATGTCTATTGCTCTTTCATAAGTGAAGCAGATTTCTCCACACCCCCACAATATCCAATGTATAAATCTTTAATTAGCAAATCCTACCTGCAAAAATTTATTTTAAAAATCCCTGGCCAGGTGCAGTGGCTCACACCTATAATCCCAGCACTCTGGGAGGCTGAGGTGGGTGAATCACTTGGGGCCAGGACTTCAAGACCAGCCTGGTCAACATGGTGAAACCCTGTCTCTACTAAAAATACAAAAATTAACCAGGCATGGTGAGACACACCTGTAATCCCAGCTACTCATGTGGCTGAGGCACAACAATCACTTGAATCTGGGAGGCGGAGGTTACAGTGAGCCAAGAGCATGCCTCTGCACTCCAGCCTGGGCAACAGAGTGAGATTGTCTCAAAAAGACAAAATTTCTTTTAACTTTTCATAAAACTATTTCAACCTGGTAAGTGGACCGCTCAATTTGAATTTGAACCCCAAAATTATACTTACTGAAAATGCCAAAATAAAGAGCGGCAACTCTGGGTAAAGTATATATCCACTGGTATGCCATAGGCCCCTGTATATATTCTATCATATGATGCTATACTCTAGTGAAAATGTCCCTTAGATGAGGGCAGGCACAGAAACAGATTTTCAATTCTTCTTTGAATGGAAAGCCTGCCACTTGGGTCACATGACCCAGCAACTCTGATGGTAATCGAACTGTCTGCAGCAGATAGTCATACTTTATAGAGCCTTTGGAAGGCATATGTGGGCAAATTACAGCACAGAACTTCACGGTTTTTGGAGCAAAGTTATACCACCCTCTGCACATAACTAACCTCCTTTTGAGAAAGTGCTTCTGGCTTTGACTGAACACTTGACCACAGGTCACTAAGTTACCATATGAACTACCCATTATTAACTGGGTGGTGTTGTCTGACTCATCAAGCCACAACATTGGGTGTATATAGCAGCATTCCATCATCAAGAAAAATTGTAAGATAGGGTTGTACAGGTCCTGCTGGCACACATAAGTTGCAGAGGCAAGTGGTTCAAACTCCCATGGGCCCTATGCCTGCTAAATTGCCTCCTTCCTATCAACTTGCCTCTATAGCCCCACAGGGAGTTCTCTATGACCAGTTGACCTAAGAAGAAAAAATATAGGCCAGGTTTAGAAATGGTTCTGCACAACATGCTGGTACCACACACAACTGAACAGCCACAGCACCAGAGCCCCACTCATGAGTGGCCCTGAAGGACTGTGGTGAAGAAAATATTCTCTGTGGGCAGATCTCTGAACACCACACCTAGTTGTTCATCTTATTTTAGAAGCACAGATGGCCAAAGGTATGGATCTACACTGTTTCATGTGCAACAACTAATGGTTTGGCTAAATGGACAGGGAAACGACCTGTGGAGAAAGGTGTATGAATGGACCACTTCAAAACAGTTTCAGAGAGTAAAGATATTCAAGTTCCATATGAATGCTCACTGAAGAGAAATCTTGGCCAAGGACAATTTTAATAATCAGTAGAAACAAATGACCTGCTCTGTGGATGTTAGTTAGCCTCTTTCTCCAGGCACCCATCTCATGAACTACATGATTAGGTGTAAAGATAGTCTCCATAAATGGTGCTGGGAAAACTGGATAGCCCCATGCAAAAGAATGAAATTGGACTCCTATTTTACACCATTCACAAAAATTAACTTGAACTGGATTAAATATTTAGATTAAAAGATTAAAGATTTTAGATTAAAAACTAAGACTCCCGGAAGAAAACATAGGGAAGACATTGGTCTTAGGAATGATTTTTTTTTTTTTTAATAAGGCACCAAAAGCACAGGCACAAAAGCAAAACTAAACAAATGTGACTATATCAAACTAAAAAGCTTCTGCACAGTAAAAGAAATGAAGAGACAACCTACAGAATTGGAGAAAATATATCTGATAATAGGTTAATATCCAAAAAAATGTAAGAAATTCATATAATTCAATAGCAAAATAACAAATGAGCTGATTAAAAAATTAGCAAAGAAAGGCCAGGCACGGGGGCTCACGCCTGTAATCCCAGCACTTTGGGAAGCCAAGGCGGGTGGATCACCTGAGGTCAGGAGTTCGAGACCAGCCTGACCAACATGGAGAAACCCCATTTCTACTAAAAATACAAAATTAGCCGGGTGTGGTGGCGCATGCCTGTACTCCCAGCTACTCAGGAGGCTGAGACAAGAGAATCACTTGAACACGGGAGGCAGAGGTTGAGGTGAGCCAAGATCGTGCCACTGCACTCCAGCCTGGGCAACAAGAGCGAAACTCCATCTCAAAAAATAATAATAATAATAATAAACACAATAAAATAAATAAAAATGGGCAAAGAAGCCGGGCATGGCAGCACGTGCCTATAATACCAGCTACTTTGGAGGTTGAGGCAGGACAGCTTGAGCCCAGGAGTTTGAGGCTGCAGTGAGCCATGGTCATGCCACTGGACTTCAGCCTGGGTGACAGAGACCCTGTCTCAAAAAAAAAAAAAAAAATGGCCAGAGGTGGGGAGGGCAAAGCACCTGAATATGTATTTTTATGTATTTTTTTCAAAGATATACAGATAGCCAACAGATACATGTAAAGGCATCCAAATCACTAATCATCAGGAAAATCAAAACCACAATAAGATATAATCTCACATCTGTTAGGATGACTATTATCAAAAAGACAGAAGAAAAACATTGGTGAGGATGTGGGTGCCCTATCGATGGGAATGTAAATTGGACAGCCATCACAGGAAACGGTATGCACATTCCTCAAAAAATTAAAAATAGAATTACCATATGATCCAAATTAAAAATAGAACTACCATATGATTTCCTCTGGGTATATACCCAAATAAAACAAAATCAGTACCTCAAGGAGATATCTGCATTCTCATGTTCATTGCAGCATTATTCAC